CCCGGGTTTGGGGTCAAGATGAACACCCTATACAATTTGCATTACACTCTATGTATTTTTGCTCTTGTGTTCATTTTCACCCCCTGAAAAGAGCACAAATTAAACTGAACTTAATAAAGTTATTTTAAGATTAAAAAATTTTTTATACAATTATTTTTGGTTTTTCTAAAAGTTGTCTATAGGCTACATGGATTTAGGGAGACATAATTTTCTTACAAAAAAACATGGTCGCTTAAAATAATTTTTTTTTAACACACCAATTATAATGGGTTATGATTGTTATAGTATGTGTTTTATGTAGACAAAAAGATGCTGATTCATAAAATAATTTTTATCTTTTACATTTTTTATGATAATAAAAAAAACATTTTCTGAGTTTTGTTCATCTTCACCCCGGTTTACGGAAACAAGTTTTTATAAGGTAAAAGTAAGTACCAGCCTAACTTATATGCAACTTTTAATTTTCTTTTACTATGGTAGATTTAATGATCGTTTATCTCAGCTGCAATTTGGTGCTATAAACCAACAACTCAGCTACAGTTTCATATGATTCACACCATGTTAATCCTAACCTAGAATAGTCTAGAACCAAGGCCAGGTGTTGTACCATGGACCATAGTAGCTTATTGTCGAGACCACGTAAGTTTGCAGTTGGTGACAGCCAATCACAAGACAAGGCTAGTGCAACGTTGCCACATCGCACTAATTAAAATATACTAAGCAATATTTTCAAATCAGCTGGTATTATTAGATTTGGCAACACCGCACGGTTCTCATTGGTTCATTCAAACCCATATGGTAAATAGGCTCCTCCCTCAACTGCAAACTTATGTGGTCCCGACAATAGGCTACTAAAAGCAGACTTTAATAATTCTGTCAAAAAGTCTTATAATAGGCATTTGTTATTTAATTTGCTATAGCCTAAACAAACAGGACAGCCTCCAAGACAGTTATTAGACGAGAATTGATGTAGGCCTTAACTAGGCTATAAGTGAACTTCTTACAAAATAGGAAAGAGCTAACCAACTTCTACTCGTCAGAGGAGCATGAGCATGTGCATGTTTGATTTTTTTTTTATTAGCTTTTCTTTAGGAGTGTGGCGATGACTTAGTCCGAGCCAGTGAGTGCATGTTTCTGTGCAAGAGTGTGTGGTAGTGTTGGGGCCGTCGACTCCTCTCACTTCTGTGCATTACTTTTTCATATTTATGGTCTATCTTGTTGTTACCTTTATTGTTACTGTAAGTTTTTTAATTTTCTTCAGAGTTTACCGTACCTTTTGCACATTGTTCTCTCCTGTAAATTTGCTGTTTTTGCCTCCATACTTACTATGTATTTATTTTGTAGTGTCTCATAATTTTGGGTTTGCTTATTGTTAGTCTCTACTTCGTTAATATTTATTGTATTATTGTTCCTGCATGTAACTAGTCTTATTGCCACTTGCTGTGATATTTATCATATATTTATTTTCTCAACTTTGTCTTGTTAATTATCCTAAGTGTAGGTAGTAGTGTAATGGTCAAACGCATGTATTTTTACGTCATCTTTTTTTGGCCATCTGTATATAGCCTAATTGCAATGTGAAATGTAAAATGGTGTTTGCCGTATACAAATAAAAACTAATTAAGTTAGGCTATTAATTTTATAGGCCCTAACATTTAAATGTGTTTCTACATTGATTTCCTCTCTAGCCTACTTTAAAATCAGTGGTCCAAGGTACAACGTAGGTCCGAGGTACAACATAGGTACGGTAGCCTATTTACCTTGGTCCTCATGTTAATAATTTTTACCTAACTTAACTTAAGTTAGGCCTAATTAAAAATATTTGTTTTGGGTGAAAATAAAGGGTTAAATAAAATATATGTAAACTTATTGTGTTAACCCTCCGAGTGTCCCTTGTTTTGGCCCTAATGTCTGCCTATTTTTTGCTCATTTGCAAGGTTTTATTAAAACGGATCTGAGAAGCTTGAAAACAATGTTAATTATACTGTTCTATATACCATTTTGTTTGGAAAATCATGGGCTTCAATATTATACATAGAACATAAGGAACATTTGTTTCAAAAAATTTTTTAAAGGTACCTACCGTAAAAAAAAAATATTTTGGGAAAACAAAAAAATAAAATAAATTCGCGCTCAATAAAATTGTATAAATTATAGGCCTATAAATATTTGAAAATAGCCACTTTGTTCTAAATTTTATGAGGATTACAAAAAATATATAATAATATAAGGAAGTAGATTTGCAAATAAATAAGTTATGGCCAAAAAACAGATTTCAGTACATAGCGTTTAGCTAAGAATGCATAGCCTAACCATAGCTAGGAATCTGGCTGATAATTTACATCAATATCACTAGGCCTACTTCTTCAGGATCATCAACTAGCCCTTCAAAATCACTTAAATCTTCTTATAATGCACCACGTATAGGCTATCACTACTTTTGATTTTTAACACTAAAACAATGATAAACGTAATAAAACACATCAGTCATCGGTCCGAGGTTAATCAAGCTGTTTACAAATACGCACGTCAGCTGTCTGCTACAATATTTTCGAAACTAAAATGAATAGCCTAGCGCTTAGAGACAGACCTCGGGAGAAAGCTCTGAATCTGTAAAATAAAACGATACCTAACTCGATCCAGTTCAATCCGATTTTGTCAGTCATAGAGCCTTCGCCGTAAACAGTGTGAGTCGCTGCAGCGACAAATAACACTCGGAGGGATAAAGATCAATGATTACTTTTAAGTTATGTAAGTTACTACGGTAACATATTTAGGCCTAAGTAAGTTAGGCCTATGTATTGTGTTTTAGGTGTCATATCAAAATAAAAAGGTAAAACAGGTCCATGGTAAAACACCTTCCCCTAACCTCATATCCTTTCTGTAAACTAGGGCCTTTTTATTTTTAGATATTATTCAAGTTCACAATTAAGTTACCGCTACCGTACCTAACTAAAGTTACCCTTAACATTTCACTAAACTTAAGTAGGCGGTATTTATTGTGACGAACGTGACCATGGGAACCTATATAGAATTATATATCACTAGAAACTAGATTTTTAGCTGAAAATAACGGTGCAAAAATTTTTCCGCGCTCTCAAATATTAACGGAGTTACGGCTGTTTCAAGTTTTATTTACCGGTAGGCCTAGGCTACTTTGTTTGTTTGACCTAACCAATTTATAAGCCTATGAAATGTTCTCTCCAGATACTTGATATACCGAAATTAAGTTAATTATAACTTAAGTAATGATTTAAGTAGAAGACTCACTTTTTACCTGGAAATAACAGTGCAAAAATGTCTCCGAAGCCACGAATATTAACTAAGGTAACTTAAGATAATTTGATATTTTGATTTCCTTTATCTACCTTCTGCCTTCTATTCTAGTCTAGTCTGCTACTAACTAAACTCCTTGACTCCTTGCCGCAATACGGAATTCGGGAATTACGGACTAGATTAGGCCTACATAACTGTTTGTAGAACTGTAGCCTACTGAACCGAACTGAAATGAAAATGAAAATACGAAATTGAAGAGAAGAGAATAAAAATAAGTCAAGTCATTTAAAGTGCATATGCTACAAACATCTAAGAAACAACACGGCACTGATAATTTATTTCAGAATGATTTTATTTAGGCATGTGTGGAAGGCAAGTCGGGCTTATGCGGATTCGTGACTGTATTAAGTGTTTTGAAGTTAGGTTAGATTAGGAAGGTAAAGTGTAGGTTATAGTGAACCACAGAAAACGTACTACTATAACCCAGAATGCCAACCGCATGGTAAAAAGCATTAAGTGGTTTGAGAGAGCTTTGCCTGTCAATCCGTAGGCAGCGCCACCAGCGTTGCTATGCTATTGCGAACTATCATTATGCTGAAATTAATAAGTTTGCGTTAATTATCTTATTGATTGTTAGTGTGAGTCTAATATTTACTAAAAATCACTTACAATTTATATAAATTTGATAGTTAGGCCTATATAAAGTTTCTGGTGAGGAAATATCGTCAATTAAAATAGACTAGTCAGTAGACTTACAAAGGTAAATAAAACTTAAAACTGCCGTAACTCTGTTAATATTTGAGAGCGCGGAAAATTTTTGCACCATTATATTTTCAGCTAAAAATCTAGTTTCTTGTGATATATAAATCTATATAGGTTCCCATGGTCACGTTCGTCGCAATAATTACCAAGTAGGCTACAGTAGGTAACTTATGCGGGGGTGCAGGGTAAGTTTAGTGGTTAACCTGCTGCACTTTAACCGGTCCTACACTCATTCAAATGAAAAATTGATATATCGATCGATATTTTTCATTCGAATGAGTGTAGGACCTAAAGTAAAGTGCAGCCGAGGTAGGTCATTTAAAAGTTTAACTGCATTGAAATGGAATTTTTTCTGAAAGAAAGTGGTTGAGGACCTAATTAGTGTTGGCCTCAACCTGGTTCACAGTCAATGCTCTCAAATAATTAGGTCTAAGTTATGTCAAACAAATCCTTTTAAAAGGACTAAAATCCTTTCCTTAGCCTCACTTTAAAATGATTGATTAGGCCTAGGCCTAGTTAACTTACCTAGACCTACACTTGGTGCAAAGTGAGGCCTTGCAACCTAATGAATAGAGGCTAAGTTTATCTATTTTGCTTCCATTCATTGGCCTATCCTCCTACAAAAGATCTCAATTTCAACCAAAGTATGTATGTAAGGCATGAGAGAGAAAATGTGTTTAAACATGCAGACTACACGACCTACCGCACAACGCCATTTTGCAGGCTGCAGCGGTCTGCAGTTTAACAAGATCCGGTAAATTAAGTATTACAGGCTGCATCTTAGTAGGACTGACTTAAAAAATACGCAAAGTAAGATTTCCGAGAGTCCACTCAATGTAACAGAATTGATAAATTTATAAGATTTTTGGATCAAACAATGCTGATATCGCCCGTCAATTAAAACGCCGGTATATAACTAACGAAAAGTTGAGCAGACATGGTTCTCATGACAAGACACTTACTTCAAATCCTTCTGATTTCGCCCAAACATTTCCGTCATGTCCTCCGATGGCGGCTTTTGTTACACATTTGGATGCTAATAATTGCTTGTCAACGTAATCCTGCCAGCTCATTTTGTACACAAATCACTAAAATGTTATTTCACTCACAAATTTCGCACTACACCACTGACGCGACACGACACTCTCGTTGTCTCGTTCACCCTTCTTTCCAGATGGAGGAAGGTGGACTGGCGCGGAGGGAGAATATGACATGACAGTATCTAATGCGCATGGTGATTCACATCATATTTTTAACAAAAAGTGAGACAACATTATAAAAAAACGTACAGATAACTACAAAAAAATATAGAAAGTTCCATATTTAATTTTGTAACGTGCATTTAGTAAAGTATTTTGGCTAGAATCATTAACAGATTATGGAACTACTTTCTGAAACAAAGCAGCATCCGAGAATAGAAGGATAAAGCTTTGGTGAGTTTGAAATCCACAAAGCATTAACCAAATGTCATACATATAAAAAAACCTAGTTCCACTTTCAGTTTCCACTTATTTTAACATAGGTAAATCTTAGTCTATGCTATCTATACCGTTTGGATGCATGATAATGATTGTACCCTTATACTGTATAACAAAAGTCCGTGAACCTACAAAAGTTTTATTTTTTTGTGTTGAAATTGACTTAGAGAACTACAAGTATTATTAACAACCAAAAAATATCTTGTGGTTTTAAAGTAATATATTCTGATAAGTAGTATCTTTATTAAAATATTGAAAATAAAACATACAGAATTGAAAACCAAAACAATATGAGTAGAAAATCTATATCTGTACATTTTAAGCTAAGCGGAGTCAATATTGTCGTAATCCAGTAACCAAGCTTTCATAAATACACAAATACCATTAGCTGCTTCCAAACAAAACAGCTGTTACAACCCTACTTGCGACGTTGCCACTTCGAAGGCCATGGCCTGGAGTTAATGGCGGCCTGTTCATAATTTAAATTTCAGATGAACTTTTTTAAAATGTTCATAAATTTAAATAAAAAAGCGAGATTTAATGAGCTGATGTCACCTGTCTGCCATGTTATCTTATGGGATGTCTGTCACTAAACCACTCACTCGACGAATCTCGACATCACGACGTTGCCAATTCTACCAGGACGCGGCCTGTAGTTTAAGGCGGCCGTGGTACAAAGGCCTTTCAACTAAGTGGCCTATGATGATGGAAGGAACTAGAAAGGCTGGTCCCGACACTAATTGAATGATAACCGACCAGAAGCGATCCGAAGAGCGCTTTTTCTCTAGACCACTGCTACGATTCCTCTGAGTTGTTTAATTCCTTCTGAGGACCACTTCCCATGTCTCAGATTTGAACATTATTATCATCATTACCAATGTAAATAAGTTTTTAACCCGAACATGAGTGAAGGATGAGTGTAGAATGAAGTCTAGAGATGCCTATTCTACACGAGCGTGAAACCTGCGACGGGATTCCCGCGTCTGGACCATGCGCTCGACAGGAACCATTGGATTAAATTGGGGTCCCTGCCTACAGGAACGGGATTCATTACGTGGATCGGTTGGATGCGACAGTAGGCTGGAAGCGGATCTGACGTTGACGTCTGCGTCAAACATGATCAAACCCACGACGGGAATCCCGACAAGCCATTGTACACAGCATAGCGGTGTCACCACAAGCGGCAAACTCACTTCACCTTTCACCATCCTATTGTCCACTGGGTCGTTCAGCTGGTTAAATACTTCTCCTCATGCAAGTAGATATCATCATTATCTCTATGCTCAATGTGTGGCTCAAGTAATACTAATAGTTCATCGAACGTCTCGATAAATATTCTATTAAAACTGGAAAAACTTTTCCGATACTTCAAATTGTCATTAAACAAACATGACATAGAATGCCTATAGTGATGAGTCTGTTTGATAACGTCAGATGCGTCCACCATCGTCTCTTCTTACGTTTCTTCCTCAGGAGTTATAATAGCTGGAGTCGGAAAACTCCAGCTGGATGATTGCAGTGTCTTTATTGAATAGGAATGGCCTTGATAACCGAAATCGGCAACCGGTCCACCGTCATTCAAATGGGACGGTGGCATCGTACTGTAATCCAGCCACTAGGAGGTCACGAATTGTGGATATTTATGGGCATGCACTGTGGATGCGATACTCCCTGGTGTGGATTAACTTCCGCACTAGTGAGTCCTACGACTATCCGCATTTCCGCAGTACTATTCTGATAATTAGACCAATTCGGTAATACCAAGGCCCCTTAGTTGCTATTGGCTGTATGGGCTATTAATTAACAGATGTGTCTAAAGAACATGTCAGGCTTAGTCACTAATAAGACTACAAGATCGCGCCACTCATCATTTACTCATATTTGGGTTAAAATACGCACATAGTGGCGTCCCCATCTTAAATAATTGATAATTTATTGAACTTCTTTTTCACCACCACCTCCTAAAATTCTCTATAATATTTCTGATTTCTTGCTTTTTTCAGTGGAATAATGCTGTGATGTGTTTTTTTTTTTTCAGGAGTTGCAATAGTTAACCCTAAATTAATTGACTCTATTACAAAACATTCGAGGAGGGTTCGGTGCTGGGTATCAAGCAAAAATCGAGCCAAGAACAATTGTCCCACTTACGCCGTAATTTCTGTAGTATAATATGTAACTTTCATTTGGTGGTTATTTTTAAGGTTTACACTTTTGCTAGTTTCTATAAATTGAGCTGTTGAGCTCTCTAGACAATTCTATACAGACAAATTCATAATCTATGATACCACGAGTATCATAGATCTTATAATCTTAGAGACCTCTCTGGTCTATGCGAAAAACACTGCAGACGAATTGTTTTTTTCTGTTATAACCATTCGATTGACTTGACAGTTGATTTACCAAACGTCAATATCAAACAAAATGTTTGAAGTAAGATGATCAATTAATACATTTTAATAAATTTTGAGGTGATTATATTGTAAATTATCCTCAAGTAATGTATATTGTAGTTGCCTTTCTGTGATTAATCCAAGTGATTTGTCTTTCACAATGAATCTTCACAGTATTTAACGTTTTGATCACATCAGGTGATTCATCTGCATTGCTACAAGTAAGTATGTAGTTGGCTATACATTTTTTAATTTTACTTAACCATCCTTACATCATGTTTCGGACAATATTATCTTTATAACTTAATGCTACTAAAAAAATTACCTACCCTACATAGGTGACTGTTTCCAATAATTCCAATGATTCAATGTTAAATATCACAATGACAGCCTAAATAAAAAGTTTACTTATAACATTAACTTACATTAGCAAATGCAAAAGGCTTATGTAGGCTTAAATTGAACAGTTTAATTTCGGTGCACTAACTTATGCTCAAACAAATAAGGGGTACAGTTTCTTAACTGGGCTATGCTAATATCGATTGAAACTATCGATTCGATTAGTAAACCTTTCTGCGATTTTTTCACCATCGGCAAGTTTGGTTGGTTAGGTTAGGTTATGATAGTTAAATTTGATAATAAATATATTTAAAAATATCGATTATTAATCAATATTTTCAATTTGATAGTTTCAATCGATATTAGCATAGCCCAGTTAAGAAACTGTACCCCAAATAAGTAAAGTTTAACTTACTGTAATAGTTTAAGGTTTATGATTTTGTGCAAATTCTACCTTTGCCAGTGGCAATGTGTGTAGCAGTGGCGCAACTAACGCCAATGTAACCAATGCGGTGCATTGGGGCGCAGGCCTTCAGGGGGCTCAGGCCTTAGGGGGGCGCAAAAAACTGATATTCTGGAAAAGGTTTGGCAAAAAAACATGTTGAAGCAAAACTTCCCGTAGCACACCAAAAATAAATGTAAAAAAACATTTTCGTGGTACTTTATTCCGTTATAGTCACAACAGAGTGTTGGTGACTTTTGTTTACTATTTTCGCGTATCTTCTCGGCGTGGTCTGCGCTTATCACGTTCTTATCACAAGAATAGACTGCTTTTGTTTATTTATCATTGTTAGCTACAAAGATAGACGGATAAAAATCGTTCAGTATTATTTTAGTAACTACGACCACGTGTCCCTGTCAGTCCTTTTTGTTCGTTTGGTTCAGTAGTGTTATTTGTTTTACATCAATACAAAACAAAATATTTTGTCGGTGTATTTGCTACACAATTGTTTGTTTTTATACAAATTAGTGGACCGTTTATTTGTGCGTTTTAGTGGATTTCGTTATGAACTACTGAACAAAATGGATGGAAATAAAAGACCTAGTGGTGCCGAGGAAAAACAAGAAGAAAAAGTGAAAAAGCTACCTACCAAAGATTGACAGGTTTTTTTAAACTGGATACACTATTTAGATGTAGAAAAGTTAGCAAGACAGTTCCTAGAAACGTAGAGTCGAAGGGGCTTTGTCAGGGATTAAGGGAATAGGAATTAACATACAGTGTTGTTACTATGAGCTGTAGGCTGCTCTTTGATTGTAAGAATTCTCTTGTAAAATTAATCACTGGTTATGCCACTGGTGTATAGAAGAGAACATTAAACGCCACAGGCAAACAGTTAAGTTAAGGATCTTGTATAGTAGTAAGCTATACTATACTGTACACTGTATAGTATACAGTGTATAGTATATACTGTGAGTAAGTATTATAACCAAGAAAAGGGTCATTAATTCTTTTAACTTAAGATGTTTATTTATTTACTAGACTGCGGGTTTTTTTCAGGTACAAATCATACGTGCAGTATGCTGGACTGGGCTTATGTTGGTGTGAACATAACTGTCAAAGGCAATGGAGGACCAGACTGTGCTGCATTTCTAACGATGACAAAGCGTATTTTCGAGACTGTCTTTGTTTTGATGTTGACTGCTCCACTTATGAAATGGGGCCTTAAAAACCTCACATCGGTACCAGCAATAACTGACGTCCCCAAAGAACCTCCGGGCAAAAGATTTTTATTGGTGCTCATGACCTTAATATTTGGAATAGAAATAGGATTTAAATTTTCATCTAAAACTGTGATATTCCTGCTAAACCCTTGTCATGTGACAACTGCTTTACAGGTATGTGTGTCTTTTGGGTAAAATAAAATCTGATAAAATACTGTAACTATTTGTTTTATGAAAGAATGTATGTATTAATATTAAATAATTATAATCATAGTTTGTATTCGTTAGCTTTATGCTATGATTTTGCAATTTTGCGAAACATTGGTGAAAGAGCTTGTAAAATACCATTGGCTCATTGGACCCCATTGTGTATTAGCAAAACTATGTTTTAAACTGCTCTAATAATTATATGTGAAGTGTGTAATTGTCCATAGTTACTTATACAAAAAAATAATCCACCAATGATAAATTATTAATTTAAATTTAGACTTTGCTAAAAATGTAACTTAGGCCTAGACCATTTGATTGGCTTCAAATTAGGTATACTTAATTAGATGCCATAACATTTAATAACTTACCGGTATATTTCCCTGTGAATAACATATTCTAACAGATTACCCAATTCTATTAAATTACTATCTTTAATTAAAATTTTGCATTATATTCTTTTGTTTCAGATTTATTTACTTGCTGCTCCGCCTAGTAAACAAGTAGCTGCTGTGTTTCGTTTTCACCTCAACTGCATGAATGGCGCTGTCTTAGCTCTTGGATTTCCTGAGCTTGATGCTCTTAATGTAAGTTAAAAGACAAACCTTTCTCATTTGTCATTGTTCTAGCAAGGTTTGAGAACTAGGACCGGACAATCATACTTTTCAGCATAAGATTTAGTTTAGAACTTGTAATCAACCCTACATTTACCATGGTTTTATGAGAGTAATTTCTACCTCGAACACCATTCTAAAGAGTTGGGGAAATGAAAAAGGCCAATTCAATTGTTGGGATATTAAAACAACATATAACATATGGTTGGAAAGATAATTCTATATCATAAGAGTATAAGCTCAATAAATTTTTCTGAGAGTTTACGTTTTTTTTTTATTGTTGAAACTTATCGTCTGTTAAAAAAATAATTTGTTGTAGATTTACGCATGGATAATAGGGCCCATTGTGAAACAAAGCTAATCTGTGGCTTGGATTCTCCAAAGGTTATTTATGCATAATAATTTTATGAGTTTTAAAGTTTCCAAATAAATAAATCTTGTTTTAAATTTAAAAGTGCCTAGTGTAAAATATAAAGAGGAGGGGGTGGTCAAAAGGTGAAATTTTAAGAAACCGGATCTTTATGATTTAAGTTACTTGATTCTGTCAAGTACTCCTGATGGCCTTTTTTGCAGTTTAAAGATACATTTAGAAGGTGAATTTTGCCCAGTACAACAAACTGTAAGACATAATTGATATATATCCAGTGCCGGAATCGCCACAAGGCCGCAACGTTCTGCACAAAACATAAAAACATATTTTTTAACTTAAATTGTAGTTGTACTTCCTAAAATTAATAATTCACCACAATTGTGGGTAATGATGACCCTTAATAGTCATGGGAGATCCACAATATCGCTGCAATCAGGGTGATGATGATGCAATTTCTGTGATCGTGGGAGATGTTCACGTTTTCGCCGAGAAGTTCTGGCTACATGGTGGGGTCCAGTCGGGTTGTTTTGGCCACATGTACCATAATTCCGGCACTGGATATATCAATGGTATACTAATATTACTGTTTCCTCATTGTAAATGTGTCCAATAATTCTGAGACTAAATATATCTTTATCCAATTCACCATATAAATGGCCACTGCGGTCATTCTATTTTAAATTAAATGAATTGTAAGACCCAAAATATCTACTATATAGGGTATCCACCCGTCTAATGGCAGAAATTATATTTTCTCATACAATTTCTCAAATTTGATTAGTTTTTTGTTAGTCGTAGCAAGGATACAATTTGACTGAAATAGTTTGTAAGGCCTACTTGTGTCTTTTTTTTTATCAGAACTGTAATATAAAGGGACCAACAGAAGTGTATTTTGCAAGATGCCTCGTGTAGATTTAGGGCGGATTAAACACCACTAGGGAGATCACAAATATAAAATTAATAAAAAAATTAATTCATTTATCAAAGTTGAAAAAAATAACTAAAAAAGAAACTTTATTTAATGTATGGATAGCCTAAGTTTGGCTCAAAGTGCTTTTACAATCATCAGCTGCCACTAACTTGAGTAATCATTTTCCTTGATGCAAAATCTGTTTATATTTAGCTGCCATTTGAGACATGGATTTATTGGATTCAACATACAATGATGTTGATAATTCCGATATATTTGTTACAACTGGGAGGTATGTGGTACAGGTCACCCATTATCTTTCCCCTTTTTTTCCTTTCGCATTATTAGGCCTACTAGGTTTTGTCGATAAGTGTTGTTGCACATTTAGTAAAACGCTTCAACTAAATTTGACTTAGAAAACTTTATATAGGCCTAATTTCTATTTGCACGGATTTATTCCTTCTTAAGTCTTGCAGCTGGTTAGGCTTTTTCATTGTGTCTATCCTCATCAGAAGTAATTTTGAAGTAGTGTTTAATATTTTCTGTTTTCTCTAATTATGCTTATTATAGTATTTTCTGTTCTATATTCCTCTCCTCTGTGTACCAGTTCAATCACATCTGCTTTGCATTGTAGCATTTTAGGCCTACAAATGAGAATAGTTCTTGGATTTAGACTAGCTAGTCTTTTAAACTATGTTGGAGGTTCAAACTGTTTTTACGAGTGATTATGAGATGTTTTCAGCCAAATATGTTGTATTCCTGTTAGTATGTTGTAGCACTAAGCAATTGCTTCTTTCTATGTACTGTAGTCCTAGCGCAAGCCTCTATAACCTGCCTTTGAAACTCAAGAATCCGATGCAATGCTTGTATTCAAATTCTCAATAAAATGTTAAGTTGTATGTATTTTAAAATCCTGCAGTATTTTTCCATCTTGCATAAAACCTATTATGTTCAATATTAAAATGACAAAATAAGGATGCCACTACAACAAAATAAAAATTAGTTTAGACAAAGTAATGTCATTTGCAGTTTTTGTTATGTTTAACAATAGTTTACGTCGTGTCATGACGTCAGTGTTTGATGGTAATTACAACAAACAGCCAAGATTAGCTTGAAAACTAGTTAACCAGTTGACTGTTTTAAATTGAGCAAGAAAATCAATAAATTAAAATGGTTTATTTCCAAAACCATGAATATTATATTTGGTAGATTATAGATTCCTTGTAGAGACAATGTTTGTCGCAAAATACAAATTTAAATTCACTTTACTTAAGATTTTTTCAAGTGGCTTAATTCAAAGTCTTAAAAACATGCAAAGTAGGGTAAACAAATAATAATTCCTTACTAATATCAAAGCCACTCCTTTGCCCAAAGTTTAATTCAGATTTGCTGTTTTGGCTTAAAGTGAAAAAGTGACTACTGTAGATCAACTTGTGTTTTAGGTGTTTATGAAGTTGAAAGATGGAGTGACATGAGCTGGGCCGTCATCTCCTATGTGATTCTGTTGATCTATCACTTTATCCTGCTGCAAGCCCTGGCTATCGTGAGTGTTTTATATCTAAATCTAAATCACTCTGGTGATAATATGAAATAACACACTTTCCAAAGTTTTATTTTTAATTTGTTCCAATCATAGGTTACAAATATTCATGATTCTAGTTGCGTACTTGAGTACAAGCATATCGTAAGATCAATGGTATTAATTTATTTGCTATTTTCCCTTGCAATTTAATCAGTGTTTCTTTACAGAGAACAGTAAATAATTGTGATGATTTCCAACAAACTGCTTGAAGTGGACATAACAGTTAGCATGAATATAAATTTTCACTGGTTACCCTTGTGTGACTTTGCCTAAACCAATTGCTTGAGCTAGGTTTACATCAGCATGTAGAAGGGGAGTTACTGACTTTCGTGGGAGAAATGGAGCTTGTAAACTTTCAAGTGACATGCCACTTTAGTAGATATGTGAAACGGCATGCCTTTCTGCTGATGCCAATAGTATTTGTTCCAACATTCAATTAGGGCTAGACAGAGGTGCACCATTTGGAATTGTGTGTCACTTGCAGTGGCATGTGTAAACAATACTCATAGTTACCAGTCACACCTTCACAATGTAAAGTGAAGAGAAGTGTTTTTATCAGCTGTTGAACACAAAATGGTGTGTCATTCAATATAGAAAGGCGTGGAAAAAAAGGCATTGAAGTTGTATGTTCCATCAACTTCAAAAAGCTGTATAGCTCACCTACAGGTCAAAAGGTTGTTTAAAAAAATTGTAGGTTTTTTTTACTTGTTCAAAACTGGTCCTATCTGCCCTTGAGCATTGGGCTTTGGATAATTGTCCATGTTCTTAATTATATATAGGTCTTTCTAATCTCAGCATCAGATTCCAGATTACGAAATGCTGTGAAAAACTTTGCTATCATGATGGATAATGTCATCAATCATCTTTTGAATAAGATAACTGATAAACTAACCATCACACAAAATTTAACTTTAAACCTTGTTTGCAGCCAGCGCAGGTGAATCTCAACCACATGTTGTGCCCGGCAGTAAAGGACCCGTTCTCTGGTCCGTTCTACAGAATGTACGCCATCGTTCATCAAGCCTTCCTCTGCCCCCTCCTCAGCAAGTCCATACCTGCCCTCATCTACTGGGTGGCCCCAGTCAAGCATCACCTTTCGTGAATCTCATCAGATCTTTACGACTTTCGCTTTTTATGAAATAATTTTAATAGTTAAATCAGGAATAGCACTTGAGATTTAAATATGTTTTAACAAAATATGTTTTAACAGCCTTGCAATTCTTTTGGAATTTTTATAAGTAGTTTGCTAGTCTAGACTGCCTTTTTAGAGTAAGTGAAATGAGAATCAGAATAAAATATCAGCTATGCAAATGTTGTTTTTGTTACCTTTATCTCTGCAGCATTCGTGGTACAGTGAATCAATAATTCAACCACTCAATTTTGTTATTAAAAAAAGAGGTTAGTGACCTCAAACATTGAACTTTGCCTGTCCCCATGGGTCTTCTGGACTGTGCATGGAACATTTCAAGCACAGCAAGAGTTAAGCCGATACAGTGACAGTGCAAGAATCAACAGTAAAAATAATTTGCTGTAGCGGGACAGGTGCATAAACATAAACCCACATCACCTCTGCCCCAGGTTCATAGTCAACTACCTACTCACCTAACAAGACAAATTAGAACAGTGCCAATAAGAACTAATGAACAAGTGTGAATATCTGTAGGAAATTCTCAATACCACCAGATTTAGTAAGGTACTGGTACTTGCGCTCAACAGGAGCCTATTGGTGGCACAGTCTTAATGATGACGACGTGCTTCTGCATTGGTTATAGGCACACGGTGACAGATTCCAATAAGGTCTAAGGTTAGGTATAAGGTCTGGCAGATACATTGATCTGTCCCTGGGTGCCTATTCACTTTTATGTTTTAATGTAAGTTAATTTTTTATATGTCGTTTCGTTTCTATAGCAAAAGTATGATTACTTGTGCTATAGAAACGACATATAAATTTTTTTTTATATATATCAAAAACATTTTAAAAAAACATCAGTATGGATAGTGTTATACGTACCCTGTAAATTTGTTACTGGTCGTGTGGCGAAAAGTATTGTACGCAACTCACCCGGGAAGGTTTTACAATGGTATTCACACAAAATCCTATGCTATCTTGCATCCACCATAAACCTACTTGTTGCTTATACTATTAAACGATTTACTTTGATTATTATTATTGTTTATTGTTCTTATTTCAATTTCAACTCTTCAGATATCTTTTTCCACATACTTGATATGTGTTCTTCTGTTTTATTGAGTTCACTCGTTGGTGTCTTCTGTTCTGCATTCGAGTTGTTACTCTTCTCTTCCTTTGGTTGGGTCAAATGTGTAGACTTTTGAGTATGGAGGATTTGAGTGCTGGGTAACACAAGCTGTTTACTTCCTTGTTTGCTGGTACTTCTATTTTTTTTAACGACAGAGACACTTTTTGGAGCATTGATAAATATTTCTTCACCATTAGATTTTATAAGTATCGGCTGGATTGTGTAACAATGCTTCATAGAGGGTTTTAAGGAAGAACTACTTTTGCTCAGAGATTTCACGTCCATAGACAATGTGCTTTTACTTTTAACACTGTTGCACGAGATACCTACAATGTTAGTGATGTTTTCCCGTCCGTCCTCATAAATTCTTTCCAATTCCTTTAGTTTATCCTCAATATTCTCCAACTTTAAAAGAATCTCAGGAACTACATTGTCAATTAACGATTGTCGCTTTTTCCTAATACTTATTAAGCTGTTTCGAGCAAATCCACCTTTAATTTTTAATGTGCTTTTTCTCCTTAATTTATTTTGTTGTGATTGCAAATCTGCATACGCTTTATAAATTGTTTCCTCGTCTATGTCAGGTGCATATGGTGTTTTGGATGGTTTCGTTTCATTTTTGAGTTCTTTGTCCACATTATACATAAATCTCTCTGGCGACACATCTGGGGAAGTCTTATTTTTGTTTGGAACTTCTTCAGGCTGCGGTTTTAAGGTTGTATGTGATGATATTTTATTATAAGGATTTGTAATTGCCCCCTTACTTGTCTTTAAAGTGCCTTGTGTACTGATATTACTATTCATTTGTTTACCTTCTACATTCTCTTTAGACTTTTCAACATTGTTTCCAGACATAGAAGTTGCAGATGTACTAAGCGAGTCAGTAACTGCTTCCCTTGGGTTTAAACTTATTTGGACATTGTTTCTAAACGACTTGGGAGATTGAGTTGTTTGCGATTTTACTGTTTTAGTTTTACAAGAAACAGAATTTTCAACATTTGAGGCGCTCTCAGGTAGATTTTCACAATTTAATTTTTTCACATTGCTCCTAATAGGTTTTGATTTTCCACTCTTGTCAACACAGAAATATACGTGGAAACCGCATCCTCTTTGTAAAGTTGACAAGATCTTACCTGGGCACTCGCCTTCTTGCGATGTTCTTGAATTGTGTAGATTAAAACTTAAAGCAGGAAGCTTTTGTCCAGCTTTATTGTTTTGTTTTAACAAATGAGCATTACTTGTGTCCTGCGAGTTAACACAACAGTCATTAAAACCAACTCTTTTTTTCGATGTAGATTTTTTCCTACCAAAAATTGTCTCCCACAACCAACCAACTTTACTGGGCTTTGACTCAGGATTTGCCATTGTAAACTTTAAAAATTTAAATGAATTACTAATACTGTTATCAGTTTGAATAAAATACTATTGTCACAATATCGACGGTTGCCATAGAAACTGTCCAAAAAAACCTATCTAAAAAGTATACTGTTGAATTATTTGTATTGAGATACCAGTAATTATCTAACAGAACTTTTCAGGCTTCCTAGTAAATAAATAGTGGTGTTTTACTTAAGAAACATTTGTAATTTCTTTTAACTGATTAAACGCTATGTACATAAAAAAAAACATAAATCCTCGGTTCTTTGTAAATGTTTTACTTCTTCTTCCTCCTTCCATGTTTTACCACCTCATTTGGATTCTTCCTCATCCAATATTTAACTTGAGTGTGTTTCCCTTGGATCCCAAGCATGGCTGATCGAGAATTCACATCCCTCATGACAAATGGGGAGAATCCTGAAAACAAAAAAAAAATGTATTAAATATTATGATAGATTTAAACAACTTTAAGGTAAGTTGCAAACCTGACAAACATTATTTTACAGTATTAATCCATAGACAAAAAGAATTAAATATAGACTGTCAGCCGTGCTGCGGTTACCATAGGTTTTGGCGCACACCACTGGAAGCGCCGTGTAGTTACGTAGCGCGTACGCCGTAACTACATGGCGCTCCCAGCGGTGTGCGCCAGAACCTATGGTAACAGTAACAGCAGCACGGCTAACGGTCTACCTATCTTTAATTCTTTTTGTCTATAATTAAACCAATTAGGGTTATTCTATGATTCTCTTTCACAATTTAGAATCTATATTTGATGCAACCTAAAGACAGTAGAACTCCAATTATTCCAATTATTATGTAGTTGGGACTGTACTACACTTGATAGTTAAAAAGTTAGATGCTTGGATTTTTACCAAACTTTGAAGGATTTCACAGAAAATAAGCAGAGTTGAGCCAAGCTTTTACTATTACCATCGCAGAACCGGTCTCCATCGATAAATTCACGCTATTGCTGCAATCTCAAAGGTCAATTATGATTTTCCCTGGCTGCGACAGATGATAATGATGTCTAACTACAAAACTGTAGAAGACATGATAGATTTTGCCACGATCACAAAAAACTTTGGTGATGTTTCTGTGATCGTGGGAGACGATGGTTGACTGGTTCAAATAAAATCAAATCAAAAATTCTTTATTCATATTGTATATACATACATGAATAGTAATACTCTCCTCCGTCACTACAATAGACCAATATCAGCTGTTGATAACGCAGACGACAGCCCGGAGTCAAGTCACATCACAACATAACATTCAGTCTGCTTTCTGCCATGTCCACGGCAGTGCGTGTAATTGATAGGCCTATCATTTTCGTTTTTGTGTTTTGTAAAATGTGTGTTTTATTTATTTATTCTGACGACACATCAAGTGGATCCCTTTGTTTGCCTGACGATGGCGGAGATCAGTAAATAACCGCCGAAACATATGTAGCAATTTCGACACTACATGTTAAGGATTGTCTGACGAGGTATGTTTTAACCATTATATGTCATATTACGCAATCCTGGGGCTATAAAAATGAATTTTAATTATAAATTCAATTATTCTTAATAGTAGTTAACATTTTATCTTACAAACCAATCCCATATTAGCTACTGAAGTTTTCGGGCAGACAAGCAGTAAGTATTCTGATGGATTCTTTCCACTATATTGTCAGAAAGTAATGTATTGCAAATAATCTCTATTAAACAAGATCTTGATAAAACCAAAAACAAAACCACCAAGTCGTGTAATTAATTTTTACCGTGGCGTAATTTAATATATCTGGTAATTAATGTTGGATGTTTGTATTTAATGGTGTGCGTAACAATATGAAAACCTTTCTATGATGCAATGGTTTTTTTGTTTTTTTCTTTACTTCTAAAGACATAATATCCCTTTAAATTGTTGACCGAAACTAGTAGCTACTATAACCATGTTAGATTACTGGAAATGCTGGTATTTAAACCACTTTACAGTGAAAAATTTATATGATTTTAAATAGGCTTCAGATAGAATATGATTCACATAGGCTTCAGAAAAAACATGAACACTCAAACAGCTCTATCAAATTTTGTTAACAAAACCATGTTGGCCTTGGATGAATCGCAGTATGCAGCTGGTGTTTTCTGTGATTTGTCTAAGGCATTTGACTGTGTCAATCATGAACTTCTAATTCACAAACTTAGTAAAATTGGAATAACAGGTAACATTCTTAAATGGTTTAGATCATATTTGGCAAACCGTAAACAAAGAACTCTCATCATAAAAAAGGGAATAAAGTACTATTCAGACTGGATAAATATAGAATGTGGAATTCCTCAAGGCTCAATTCTGGGGCCTTTATTATTCATCATCTATATCAATGACTTGCCCCAAAAAATTCTTTCAGAATTAATACTTTTTGCAGATGATACCACTGCTTTTGTGAAAGGCAACTCAATGTCGGAAGTGCAAATTTCAGTTAACAAAACTTTGGAAGATCTCCGTGAATGGTTTACAGCTAATGGCCTGGCACTAAACAGTGATAAAACAAACGTCTTATTTTTTCAAAAGTCAAACATGACAGATATTTCACAACAAAAATTTCTCGGAGTGATCATTGACCAAAAACTAAATTGGAAGGAACATATTGATTATTTGTTAAAAAAATTAAGATCATTCTTT